TTAGTTGTAGGTAAACATCCCACTATACATTAACATAACCAGGTCAAGTGCCGGACTAAAGACAATTAAATATAAATACTGATTGAATCAATACAATACAATCAAATACTTGTATATTTATAAAGTACCATCAAAAAGGCATACATTTGACAATAAATTAATTGAATTTGTACAAGAACTAATTATTGACTTTCACAACGATTGAAAATATCAGCTTGTAACACTATTTCCCTCATCAATGATGCTTTCACAAACGAAACCATCCATTCACATCAAAATGGGATAAACAAACATAGATGTTTTTGTGTGCCCCATTTTGCAGTGGTTTACATTTGGATTCAATACGATGCAAGTGACTTTTGCAAAATTTTGTCTGAAAATACAAATCCATAAACATAGTTAAACTCTGGTAACCTTGCCATTTGTTATATAATATTATTTCCTTTATCATAGTTTGTTTTTATATGAATATGCATTGTCATGTTTTAGAACTGAAACAGGGATTATTCATGTATGTAATATATATCTCTGATTATGAGCTAAGTTGAACACTTTTAAAAGTGTTCTGAAAATACACAGGAAAATGTAATGGGAATGTAGATTCTCAGGAGACAACATTACTGTTGACTTCTCTATCCACTCCACACCAACTAACTATTGTTAGAAACATGATACATACTTCAAGGCTGAAGCTGATTTTCAAACAAAGCATAAGCTAAACTTGATAGTTATTCCTAGAGGGCTCTTTTTACTTTTCAAATAATACAGAAATGCACAATGAATATACTGAGGAAGTTCATATTTGTCTCAGTAATTGATTAATTTTTGACAGAGATACCTGTACAAAATACTTCTGTATTTTCTGTTATCTTGCATGTTTTATTGTTCTGTTCACATCTAAACACAGCACTTTTTTACTGAGATGAGGTATTTGTTTTTAAACTAAAATATCTGAATAACTTTGAATAATATTTTGATTTGAGTTAACCTGTATAAATTCAAAACATGAATTATGGGTATTAAAACTATTGTTTATCAACAACAAATTAACTCATTCACGTTTCGTCACAACTGTAGCCATTTTAAAAAGAATTTCACATTGTTGTACTCACTGTAGAATAAATAAAATAAAACAGAACGAGCTACTAGCTAGCTGAAAAGTGAATCATAAAAATATGAATTTTTATTTTCAAAATTTATATATAAACAAAGACATTTTGTCGAATGAATTGTATGTCAAATACAGAATATATATTTTTTAGTACAACTTTCCTTTCAAAATGTGAATGCAAAGTTTTGCCTGTTATGTATTTTTGCATTATTTTTGTTTTGATAACTTTGGACTAACTGACGTAATATTTTATTGGCTTCAGATCTTGATCAAAGGTTTGAAGTTATAGGAGTGCTTATATCGCTTATCTTATTTCTTGTTTTCTGTTAACAATATTTGAGCTATTCTAGCTAATCTGTAATTTTGGTAATTCAAGATGTTCCTAAATAAAAAAAAAAAAATTTTCACAATGAGATTGTTAACACTTTAAGCTAAATTAAGATTCTGTTAATTCATGCATGGAGTCAAATTTGCTAAAATGGCATGTAGCTATTTAATTATATTTTACAGTGTTGAATGAACACTCAGCTGGGGGATAGACCCCACTACTCCCGTGTTGTGAGACTAACATACTATAAACACTGTACCTTGCTTTATAGATTTACTTACATGTTGTGAATTGACAATCACACATCCGGCTTCTTTCATTTTATTCTTCATTTTTAAAGCATCAGTACAATCTACACTGCGGCAGGCGTCTTCAATAACCGTTGTACGAAATCCATGCTCTGCAGCGTCAATAGATGTGAAACTGACACATATGTCAAAAGCAAGGCCACACAAATATACATCAGTGACATTTCTTTTACCAAGTTCTTTTGCGAGAGGTGTTTGTGATAATTTCATATTGTCCCAAAATGCAGAGTAACTGTCAATGTTTGAATGGCTTCCTTTTGAGATGTTAAATGAATTGTCTACAATCTGAAATAAATACCAAAAATATATTCTTATTATTATTAATTTTTTATTACAAAGAAGATTACAGTTTCACAAATTTATTTGATATTAATGTGCAGATTGCAGAATAACAGGAAGTCATTGTCAGTTCATTTTTTCTTGAGAACAATATCTATAAGTGTGCTTGTGTTGATTGCCATGTCGGAAACAGTATACCTAAATAAATAATTATGAATATAATAGTAGATCTTCCAAATTAACATTGAATACAATGGTGTTTGGGTACTTAGCCTGAGCTAAGCCTGAGGAAGCCTGAGCTAAGCCTGAGCTAAGCCTGAGCTAAGCCTGAGCTAAGCCTGAGCTAAGCCTGAGATAAGTGTTCACACATACTTTGTTAGCCTGTACTAATGATCTGGACCAAGTCTTAAAACAAGCAGCCTCTCGGCTGAGATAGCTCCGCTGTTAGCAATGCACATTTCAATTAAAGAACAGAAGATATCATTAGAAAATGAACAATATGCATAGTATCAATACAATGGGACTTGCTGTTTTCAACAAGAATTCAAAAATATCATTTTTCACCATAAATGATTGTGGTTTTTAACAAGAAGAAAATATCACTTTTTACCAAAAATGACAAAAATATTCATCAAAATTAGAGAATTGAAGATATCATTACAAAATGAACAAATCTGAGAGAGATCCACATGTAGTACCTATATATGTAATATCAAAGCAATTGGACTTGCGGTTTTTAACAAGAAGTTGAAAATATCACTTTTTACCAAAAATAATAAAAATATTCATCAAAATTAGAGAATTGAAGATATCATCATGAAATGAACAAATTTGAGAGTGGTTCACATGTAGTACCTATATACTGGTATGTAATATCAAAGCAATTGGACTTGTGGTTTTTAACAAGAAGTCGAAAATATCACTTTTTACCAAAAATGACAAAAATATTCACCAAAATTAGAGAATTAAAGATATCATTACAAAATTAACAAATCTGAGAGAGGTCCACATGTAGTACCTATATATGTAATATCAAAGCAATTGGACTTGCGGTTTTTAACAAGAAGTTGAAAATATCACTTTTTACCAAAAATGACAAAAATATTCACCAAAATTAGAGAATTGAAGATATCATTACAAAATGAACAAATCTGAGAGAGGTCCACATGTAGTACCTATATATGTAATATCAAAGCAATTGGAATTGCGGTTTTTAACAAGAAGTCGAAAATATCACTTTTTACCAAAAATGCCAAAAATATTCACCAAAATTAGAGAATTGAAGATATGATCATGAAATGAACAAATCTCAGAGAGGTCTACCCAAGGTACATATACACCAAGTATCAAAGCATTCAGGCTTGTAGTTTTCAAGAAGAAGTCGAACAAGTAAAACATTGACACGGACGACAGACACCGGACGACGACGGTTAATCACTCATATGATAAGCTCCGCTCGACAAAGTCGACAGCGGAGCTAAAAAGAGGCCAGATTTAATCCATACTTAGTGTTTCTTAGCCTCTGCTACATGTTCAGACATGTTTTCTTAGCACAAGCTAAGTTATTCGTCATGACCTCTTAGACTGTGTGCTAATATTTATGTACATGTAATTATCTGATTATAAACTGCCCAATATGTGATTGTTTCCCAAAATGTCATACCATCTTTAGTTTATAATGGTACCCGAAACAACACTCACAGACTTTAGAATTATTCTTGAAGATTCAATGTTGCTAATATGATCACCAATGCACCATGTTTTGCTGCTGTGGAACGCCAGTCGAAAAGCCAGTGAAAACAACCAAATTCAAGCTAACAGCACAAACTCAATTTGGAGCAATCATAGTTGTAATCTTGTTACACTGTTCAGGGGGATTCTCAACAATTAGCCCAAATTACAGTTTTTGATTGTTGTATTCACGGGTTGTGGTTGCCAGGCGGTGAAAAAGCATAGATGTTCGCTTTTGAAAATATCAGAACACCTGGTGATATTGTTTTTATAATCACAAGGGGGAGAGTCTACTAATCCTCTCCAATTAGCATAGTTTGATAAAAGAATTGTCTGTCTTGGGAACCAGTCAATATGTTACCTTGACAACAAAAGAACATGAATGCAATTTGTTCAAATTAATATTTATGACATCAAATCTGTGTAATGCAAGTGTACCCATAGTCATTGTTATATATACATTATGATAGAGAGTTTTACTGAGAATACTATGAAGTTATCACAAAAATTCCACAAAATATGCACAAAGGAACGAGCAGTAAAGTTTAATGCAATCTAGTACTAACTAAGAGCATACTTTGAAAACTTTAATTCGATACAATTTGTTCCTGAATTTGCAAATGTGGTTGTCATAATTTTGTGAGAGATTAAAACATGTCAACAAAAATAAAAAGTATTTTTACGTAACTATCTGATACAGTGACATGACTTTATTTTAAATACTGTGTTGTTGTAGAGTCAGATGTAAACTAGGGAACGGGTTATGAATGTGATTTTAGATTTCCAATGTAGGAAAGAGTGTAAATGCATTTTAAACACAAGACTTATTTATTATAAGTATCATACGTTCAATAATCAGGGCTTGAGCTTCAAAGTTGTGAGATCACCTAATTTCAAAAAGTAAAATCGATATAATTGTATTATAGGAATAATATAGGGATATCAAAGGACACCAACTCGCTTTCATGGAAACTGTCCTTGATGTCTATGTGATGTACAAGCCTTGAATAAACACTGTTCATCATTAAGGATTGATTATTGGTAAATAAATTCAGAGAAAATGGTTGTCTCTTTGATCATTTGTAACATAGTGTTATTATCTGCGGCTCATGCCAAGCATAAAGGTATTGTAATACTCACTTTTAAGTCTTTATGATACTCTGCTCCAACTGAGTTCTGAACACAATGTGTTGGCCATAGTTTCTGTTCAGTTACTGGTGGTCCAGCAAATCTAACAACATCAAAAAGTTTGGCATCTTCAGAACTTACCTGCAAAATATATGCAGAACCGAAAAGATTTGTAAGATTTTCACAACCATGCATGGTATGGTCTTGTACTTTGTGAACATTAGAAGTGAGCACATTTCACATACATGTCAATCAAACATATTTCTAAGAATAAGGCCATGTCATGAAATGAACCAGATCAAAATATTCAAACAAACAAAAATGCATGCAATTTGTGCTACGGATCCCATATCAACATACTGCAAACCGCTTAATTTTCATGGTTTTATGGCATTCGTAGAGACACAATTTCATAGGACCCAGGGATTTTTTTAAACAAGGGAACAGGAACGCAGCGCCCTCATGCCATCGCCATGCCTTACAATGGGCAGCAGATCCTCTAGCAACCATAAAATTACATGTGGCCACAGTCGTCAACTGTGACCTGTCTGGTAGTAATTTTGACCCCAAGGAAGCCATAGAATGCTCCATTTTAACTTAGAATTATCAAAAACTCCACACCCTGGTAGGGGGAACCCTATCTCCCCCACTTGGTGGCGCCACTGAATTGCAGTGCTCCCTCTTGCAGTTTTTTTCTAGAAAAAAACCTGGAGAAATTATGACAGTTACACAATGTTATAACTTTTCCCAACTCAAAAAACCTGTGCAATTTGTCTCACACAAAATCAAAGCAGTTTACAATATACAATCCGTGTGAAATACAAAGTTTGTTTACATGAAATTTAAACTTACTTTATCTATTATGACAAGTGAATTATAAAAATTATAACCAATACATATAGTATGCCCTCTAGAGGTAGAGATTAGAAACTCACCAATGAGGAATGGTCCATTTCTCTGTGTTTAGCATTTTCTGCAAACGATATGTGGTCAGCAGGATGCCAATCACGTGTGTAGACAACAACATCAAAGTTAACTTCATCTAGCAATTTATTAATAACCGGCACAACTTCCTCTGCATCCTGACCCGAAGGGCAATGTTTTAAAGCCAGCGATCCACTGATAAAATCATTTTGTACATCAATAATAATTAATGCTGATACCGGTGAAAGAATCTGCATGGAAGACAAAACAATCATGAATATATATTGACAAGGATTTATAAAATGTATACTGGGTATGCATGAGTGTGATATGCAATGGAGATTGAAGAGATTGCGAGATGGTCACAAAACTGAAAGATAAAACTACATTTCTAGAAATTCTAATGCAAATCAGTGAGTGTAAGGAAATACCATAATTAGTGTTTATCTCATATCGTTTTTGATATGTCATATGTCCATGCTTATTCACAACACCTATAATATGTGTGTTTTGTGTTTCTGTATACAACAATAATATTTTCTGATGACGCAATAAAACTTATCCAAACGTAAACCATGTTCTGTGACACTAGTGTTTAGAAATTAAATTGACACTCATAGAAAAGGATTGCTTTCAAACTTCAGCAAAGCTTGGGAGTTTATCTCTTGTAAGATCTGACATGCATATATTGATGCATTGTTATATTGATTGAGGCTCTACCTGGTTAAGTAAGACATACACCAGACGAGATGTTACAATGTATGTATAAGTGTACAAGCGGCAATTGCAATTTATTTACAAACTACAGGACATTAAACGACACACACACACATAAAACAAAATGGCAACCAGCATCCACAATAATGAATAAATAAAACAAGCAGCCTGTCGGCTGAGATAGCTCCGCTGTTAGCAATGCACATTGCAATTAAAGAAAACAACAGGACTTACTGTTTTCAACAAGAATTCAAAAATATCACTTTTTACCAAAAATAATCTTCAAAATTAGATAATTAAAGATATCACCACGAAATGAACAAATCTGAGAGAGGACCACATGTAGTACCTATATATGTAATATCAAATTAATTGGACTTGCGGTTTTTAACAAGAAGTTGAAAATATCACATTTTACCAAAAATGACAAAAATATTTACTAAAATTATAGAATTGAAGATACATGTATCATTACAAAATGAACAAATCTGAGAGAGGTCCACATGTAGTACCTATATATGTAATATCAAAGCAATTGGGTTTTTAACAACAAGTCGAAAATATCACTTTTTACCAAAAATTACAAAAATATTTACCAAAATTAGAGAATTGAAGATATCATCATGAAATGAACGAATCTGAGAGAAGTCTACCCAAGGTACATATAAACCAACTATCAAAGCATTCAGGCTTGTAGTTTTCAAGAAGAAGTCAAAAAAGTAAAACATTGACACGGACGACGACGGACAATCACTCATATGATAAGCTCCGCTTGACAAAGTTGACAGCGGAGCAAAAAAATGGCTTGCATCAACAGCTGGTCATGTGTGCAATCTTTTTAGGGGGTTCAAATAGAAAACATACAGGTATACAAAAGAAATTACTATTCTACCAACTTTATACAAAGTGTTTTAGAAGGATGCATTAACTGAACACATGGACATCCAAAAATTATTCTATTTCTCAGATTAAATATAAATCAATATAGCATTATCTTCAACTTAGTAATAAGACTAATTCACATTTGCATGGTGTAAGTATTCTCTCAAGTCAAGTCTGATCTTGAGCAGAAAAGACCCATTACTTAATAGCGCCCCCTACAGTTCCATGTCTTACCTGCTTGAACCAATACCTCCAACAGGCTTTAAATTCTTGTAAACTAATTTTACCATCCTAACAATAGAAAGATTAAAAGCTAATAATTACTATGCAGATCAAGGAGTAAATAAATACTAATAATAAGAATAAATATTGCAACAATTAATATCTAGAGCATAATTTGTTAAACCTATAGTGTAATAGTGGTGCGAGACCTATAGTGTAATAGTGGTGCGAGACCTATAGTGTAATAGTGGTGTGAGACCTATAGTGTAATAGTGGTGTGAGACCTATAGTGTAATAGTGGTGTAAGACCTATAGTGTAATAGTGGTGTGAGACCTATAGTGTAATAGTGGTGCGAGACCTATAGTGTAATAGTGGTGTGAGACCTATAGTGTAATAGTGGTGTGAGACCTATAGTGTAATAGTGGTGTGAGACCTATAGTGTAATAGTGGTGTGAGACCTATAGTGTAATAGTGGTGTGAGACCTATAGTGTAATAGTGGTGTGAGACCTATAGTGTAATAGTGGTGTGAGACCTATAGTGTAATAGTGGTGTGAGACCTATAGTGTAATAGTGGTGTGAGACCTATAGTGTAATAGTGGTGGGAGACCTATAGTGTAATAGTGGTGGGAGACCTATAGTGTAATAGTGGTGTGAGACCTATAGTGTAATAGTGGTGTGAGACCTATAGTGTAATAGTGGTGTGAAACCTATAGTGTAATAGTGGTGTGAGACCTATAGTGTAATAGTGGTGTGAGACCTATAGTGTAATAGTGGTGTGAGACCTATAGTGTAATAGTGGTGTGAGACCTATAGTGTAATAGTGGCAAATCACCTTATTCTCATCCAATTGTTCTATCAAATCTATGACTTGTTCTTCTGTTAACTGATATCGACCACCATGATTCCTTATAAATAATGATGCACATAGTTTACCAAACTCTTCTGCGTCTAGAAGTCCATCACTGTGAAAATATTGTGATAAACACATTGCTGAAAACCTCAGTAGATAACCAATTTAATGGTACATGTATACAACAGTGTTACCAGTTGATGTGTTAAAGAGTTAAAGGATAAAGCTTATCTGATTAAAATTACCAACCCCAAGACAGGTAATTAGTGTGAACAACAATATATTTACCCAGTGATACCAGGCTATATTTACCCAGTGATACCAGGCTATATTTACCCAGTGATACCAGGCTATATTTACCCAGTGATACCAGGCTATATTTACCAGGTGATACCAGGTTATAGTTACCGAGTGATACCAGCCTATATTTACCCAGTTTTACCATGCTATATTTGCCCTGTGATACCAGGCTATATTTGCCCTGTGATACCAGGCTATATTAACCCAGTGATACCAGGCTATATTAACCCAGTGTTACCATGCTATATTTACCCAGTGACACCAGGCTATATGTACCCAGTGATACCAGGCTATATTTACCCAGTGATACCAGGCTATATTTACCCAGTGATACCAGGCTATATTTACCCAGTGACACCAGGCTATATGTACCCAGTGATACCAGGCTATATTTACCAGGTGATACCAGGTTATAGTTACCGAGTGATACCAGCCTATATGTACCCAGTGATACCAGGCTATATTAACCCAGTGTTACCATGCTATATTTACCCAGTGACACCAGGCTATATGTACCCAGTGATACCAGGCTATATTTACCCAGTGATACCAGGCTATATGTACCCAGTGATACCAGGCTATATTTACCCAGTGTTACCATGCTATATTTACCCAGTGACACCAGGCTATATGTACCCAGTGATACCAGGCTATATTTACCCAGTGATACCAGGCTATATTTACCAGGTGATACCAGGTTATAGTTACCGAGTGATACCAGCCTATATGTACCCAGTGATACCAGGCTATATTTACCCAGTGACACCAGGCTATATGTACCCAGTGATACCAGGGTATAATTACCTAGTGACACCAGTCTATATTTACCCAGTGTTACCAGGCTATATTTACCCAGTGTTATCAGGCTGTATTTACCCAGTGTTACCAGTCTATATTTACCCAGTGATA